ACTGAAAATCACCTTTTAAAAGTTAATCGAACTGATTTGTAACTCAATCTTTTAGTCGTCAAAACTGGAAATGGGATCTGAAATTAGTTGCCAGATGCGGAATAGGATCTGAAAATGGGAAATGGTTAATCCTGATGATCCTGATCAGGACAATGGAACAAAATTATTAAATTATTGTATTGTCGTCAGTCCTGGACATGTGGGCAAAATTTCGAATTAATCTCACCTTTTTAAATGGGTAAAAATTCAGAGATTCCATTACACACAAGTGAAGCTTATAAAAGGGTGTTAAAAAGCTTATAACTAACTTAAAATGAATTCCACGGCTAAAATCAGTTATGGAAGAAACACAAATGACGATACTTGAGTGCTGATGATAATTAAATTTCTGATTTTTTAAAATACATTAAGAAGAAGTAGGCTGGTTTAAAAAGTTGGTCCACTTGCTTATGTTTACAGGATTTTAAATCAATATCAGAATAACTAATTGTAAAGATTTTCTTAGTAACCTTTGTAGTTAACGTTTTTAACTAAGAAGAAGATTAAAATTATAGGTTATAAATTTATGAAAATAGTATCTTAGCTAAAATTTAATTTAAAATATCTCAAATCCACATACTATTCGACTAAAATTTACTAAAAAATAGAGTATAAATGTGGTGTTTGGGGAAGGGAGATTGTGAAAACCTTGAATTAAAAAAGAAATGAGGCACATTTTTGAACACATTAATCAGAGAAGCTTACCATGAGATGAATTTGAAAACGCGTTTAATGAATGGACAAAATAAATGTTGATACTAATGTTCTTTGATCAATTTTAAACCAGTAATAATTAAGAAAAACTCATGAAACTATGCCTAACAATTTTCAAACTGATTCAATTTTTAATTGACTGTCATAAAAGGAACCATATTAGAGTAAAACCCTTAATTCTTCATTCTCTTATTTAAATTTAGTTTCTAAATTAATCTTAGGAACTATTACTGCTATTATGTATCTACCATTTTAACACATAGAGACCCGCAAATATCCAATAATATTAATGTACATTTTTGAATAAATATATATTCATCGTTTTTATTAAAAAATTATTACAGTTTAATAAGGAAGTTAAAACAAGAATAAAAATTGCTTATTTATCCTTTTGAGCCACTTGAATCAGAAGTAGCTTCTATATTTTCTTCCACTTCATGTGAAAGGAATAAATCTCAAAACTCTTTGAGCAAATTTATAACGAAGATTCAAATAATACTAATGCCGTAAGTAAAATGCATTTAAAGTAACAAACTACGAAGATGTAATCCAAAGTGCAATACTTTAACTAGTTTTCGAAATATTATTTTGATGAATTACAATCTAATAACTTTCAAAAAACATTTCAAAATGGAAATAACTATTTTATACACAGACAGAAAGAAAACTCTAGATTTATTTAAAAGAATCTTATTGAGATTTGTTACTTTGAACACAAATTGCTAAAGTATCATTAATTGTCAAAACTATCTAAAGAATTTATTATTCATTATTATCATTAAAATAGTTATTATAAATTTGAACAATTTAATAGCCCTCAGATTACAAAGAAATATAAACATTTTTATAAATAGAAATGTATTAGCTTCACTAACAAACTATAGTTCCTATGATGCTATTCTCTCCTTTTGTAAAAGAAAAAGTATCGTTGTCAACACAGATGTATCAATTCACTTTAGTGATGAAAACGATTTTTATTTTCTTTTTTGAAAGAAAAAGATCCTTCTGTTTGAACAACCTAAGCCTTTAGACGTTTACCTTCGAGCACCATCTGTCGGGCCGTGAGATGATTACCTATTGGCAAAGATAGTGCGCCTAAGGGTCAAGTAACCCTATTTTGTCAGCAGAATACCAAAGACGCAGAGTACCATAAGTTTTTCAATTCAGGAATTTATATCTGTATGCCTACTCAGAAAGTAAAAGAAGAAAAAATAATATTCGAAATATTCCTAATCGAAGCTTTTCGAAATATTCCAATTTCCAAACGCTTCTGAAAGTTCCCAATTTAAAAACAACATTAAACAAATTTAGAGTGTTTTTCTTTCTTTCTTTTTTTTTTTTTTGGTTTAAAAGTGAAAAACAGCTTAAAGTTAGAGTCTTTAACTTCTTAAGAGCTTACGTTAACGAATTATTAGAGAAAAAAGGACAAGCATGTTGAATTATTTGATAATCAAAACGTAAGCCACAAAATTTATTTTTAATTGAAGATAAAATATTTTTCTTACAAATTTAATATGATTTTAAAAATAGAATAAGTGAAGAAAATAATCAAGAATTTCCAATTTTAATTTAATTAAGTGAAAGATTATTAAAAATCCTTACTTTACCAATGCGGATGAATATTTAATGGCGATAACACCAGTGAAACAAGTGGGATAAGATTACATCTATATAAAAGTTGTTTATAAGTATTTGATCCCTTTAGAGTTATTTTCCAGTCACTTATTTTTTTAAAAATATGTTATGAGTTACAATAAATCAAAGCTATAATTTTAACAATAAATATTCTATCTTGAATTTCTAGAATACTTAAAAAACTCTAAAATGCTTTTATTTCGCAGTAATTTTTTTTTATGGTCCAATATTCATTTTAAGAATAAAAAGCATATGTAGCTTATTTCATATTCAAAGCTTGAGTTTTATTTTGAAAAGGAAAAATACAAAAATTGCTCAAAATATATTCTTTGAACTATGTTTTAAAGGCATTCTGAGTGTTAAAATTCTTGGAATTTCGTGAAACATACAATTTAAAATGCTTACTCTATTTTAACATAGCTAATGTGTTTGGGAGGGGGTTGAATGTGGTTTCAAAGTTAAATTAAATTTAATTAAATTTATTGGAATTCAATATCTATATTTTGCTCATATCAAATTATTTTTCAAGTAGGAAAGTAGTGTGGTATATGGGAGAAAAAAAATTTTTGTATCACTGTAGAACATAAAAAAATTAAAGTACTTAAACACATTTAAGCAGATATTCCTTTTAGAAAGACACATTAAGGTGAAATAATAAAGTTAAATAAACGCCTTTTCTTACTTTTAGTATTTTGAAATAAAAATAATTAATTTCTAATTTCACACATCAGAATGGTTTCTTTTGCTATTTGATAACTTTTAATTCGATTAAATATTTTTGTCTGATTTTTAAAAATCAATTGAAATAAAATATTAATAATGATATTCATATTGAGAATATCATAATATGTTTAACCATTTTATATTTCAAATACATTTTTTATTTAAAAAAAATCAGATTTGTACTGATTTAATCCAGTTTATATCATGGTTCTGTATCTTTTTTGTATTATATGGCAAAATATTCTATTTTAGTAGTTCAATGGCAAAATATTTAAAAGAACATGATTTAATTGTACTTCATTGATTCATCGAAAACTAATAGAAATTAAAAACAAAACGTATAAATTACACTTCTACTTGAGCTCAGAAAAACATAAATCAAATAAATTAGTTATCTTTTTTATGGCAAACAAAGAATTTTATTGCAAAAGAAATATTTGATTTAGGATATTTAAATTAATTTTGAAACAAAAGTCAATTCCAGAAAATTCATTTTGAACAAATTATATATTTATTTTGTGAGTTTCGAGGGTAAAAAAAAATATGTTGATAAAGTATTAAAAATGATGTGCAGCACAAAAAATGAAATTAAGGTTAGTTTACTTTTAAGATATTTGACATTCTTGTAACGTACACTCAATAAATATTTAATAACGAAAAGTCTTTTTACTATTGTCTTTAGTTATATATTCTTAATAATCCCAAAATTCGAATTTTTTCGTAATATTTTTTACCTTAAAGTTTTGTATTAGTAAAAATAACTTTCAATAATTCTGCACTCTAATTTTTTTTTAAATTTCAAATTCAGATAGATGAAAATGAACTCAAATTTAAGGATACTTTCTTAAAATATAAAAAACTAATTTGACATTATTTGTATTTTTTTATTTTATTACATATAAATTTTTAACAATAAAATGAGAAACAGTGATATAGGCTCTTAATAGTAACTAACTCCAGAACTTCGTGTAGCATAATTTGAAGGAAAAAAACAGAGCAATTTTATGCATTACAAATAAAAACTAACAATTTGATATTTCCTTAAATTCTCTTTCTTAGTTCAAAGTTAAATGTAATTTATAAAATGATTTAAATATTATTTTATCAAAATCCAGTCTTTATTACATACAGCATGAGTCAGATGTTAAGTTTTAGCTTAGTTAAGTCTTTTTTTATCGGAGCACAATACAAAGGAGCACAACTCCAATCCCATCTAATAATTCAAAATAACCTATATTTCTACCAATGTTTTTAAATAACTACATTTCAAAAAATGTGATGAAATTGAAATTACTTAATATTTTTTTATCACAATTCATTGTTTCTGATAAAATATTACACATAATTCATAAGCAAATAAAACCGCATTAACGTTTACATTTCTATTACATCAAATGGCACATTTTATTTTTAAGAAAAAAATTTTAATTTATTTGAAATGCTGTCATTTAGCTTTGAACATAACTTAATATTTAAAAGAAATTTTCAGTTAATATGATTAAGATGTAAGACATTCCATAATGGAACAAAATAAGAATGTAAGGTAAAAGAATATATTGATAAATGATACATAATAGATATTGAATTTGAGGTTCGGCTTCTATAAAACAAGTAATATAAAAAAAATTAAGTCAATTCCTACTTAGGTCAACAAAGAAAGATTTTATTTTAGTTACTTTTTTATTAAATAATTACAATTAATATCAATATGTATATACGTATGACAGAATCACAATATTAAGTTGCAAAATAGAAAGCGATTTTCCACTTTCCTTTCTATGAATGGTATGTTGACTATTATATTGTTTGTTACTATTTATTCATTAATTAAATTTAATTATTCTAATAAAATAGTATAGTAAAATAAATTACATTCTCTGAAATTAGGCCATCCTAGGTGGGATTCGAGCCCACGACCTTTGGAAAAAATCCAAAGCGCTATCCATTGCACTGCAGGGACACAACGAGCGATTTTTCCTTTTTATATATGGTGTTGAACTATTATTCTTGTTTTTTACTATTTATTCATTAATTAAATAGAATTAATAAATTAATATTTCAAAAAACAGTATTAACATCAAGTGCCATCCACTACAAGTTTAAAAAATGTATTTTAACTTGAATGGATGAACAAAAAGTATTTATTAACTATTGAAAATTTTAACAAGATATATATATATATATATATATATATATAGATTTATAGTGTTAACTAAGAGTAGGAATTGAAAAAAGATGAATTTGTTAAATTTTCAATAAGACAATAATATTATACGAATTGTTTAATATAATGGAAGAAAATAGTTCCTTAAAATTTCTAGAAGTCGTATTCAGTTTCACATTAAAGTATTTTAGGGAAGAAAAATGAAAATATACAAAGGATGTTTCATATTTAGCTAAAGTTTCGTCTGTAACTTGCAGATAACCTTTTCTTCTAAAAGTAACTAAAAAATTAGGCAAACTATCATACTATGATATATAATCCTGAGATATATGACAAACTCTTTAAGGCTCATTCTTAAAATTAATAATTTTTTTTATATATTCTAAGAATATTATTTGTAGCAAAATCTTCAAATCAACAAAATACTCCTTTTCAAATAAAATAAAAAATTTTGTCAAACTGCAGAGAATTTTACAGTTTCTAAAACATATTTATTTTTTACCATAATTTTCAGAAACTTGCTGTTGCTAGTAAAATCAAACTATACACATTCGATAATTAAATGTTAGATTAGACTTAATCGAATTATTTAATCCAAAATAAATTTTCAATTGCTTCTTGACATTGATTGAAAATGTCTTTTAACTCTAAAAATCAATCTTATTATTGCTATTATTAGGTTTCATATTGTTGTAATATTGTTATCAGCATTTTGTAAAAAAAAATAAAGCACACATAGAAATATTAAAATTTAAAGGGAAAAAATATTTCTTTCATATCACATGTGATAAGCAGATCGTACAATATCGTATTCCTAAAAAGAGTGGTATAAGTCAAAAGTCATGTGAAAGATTTTGCTCAGTATTTATCTCTCATGCCCTGTGTTTATAAGAAAAAAACATTTAAAATTTACTCTAATAACATCTCTAATAGTATAAAAGTAACATAATCATTTTTAAAACAAAAAGTATTCAGATATTGTCATGTTTTTTCTTTATTGAAATATTGGTATAAGTCATATATTTCTTTGATAACCCATGGCACTGAGAAAATGGCTTGAAATCATACGATCAATAATAAGAAGTAGTGAACCGATTTAAAGTAAAAAATAAAAGACTCACACACACATATTAAAGAAACTACACATTTTTAAATAAATAAATTTAAAAAATGTGAAACTGAGTAGCACACATGAAAATAATGTTTCTAGAGAGGAAGCAAAAATTCGGGGAACTATTCATATAGTTTTTAAGATCGAATTTTAAAAAGTTAATAAAAAAAACATTTTTTTTAAAAATTATTACTTGAAGTAAGAGTTTTTGTAGGACTCCTGATATTATATATATATTTATATGTACACACACACTTATATATATTTATACTAAAAGCCTTCATTATAATATTATTATAAATTTACATATAATAATATTATATATTCCTATTTATGTATATAAAAACAAAAATGTAACAATGCATATCCATTAAATTATTCAAGAAAGCATTAATCAATTGATAAATTGAAGGTATTTTTTCACATAAATGTACGGTTTTAGTGAAAGTTAAACATATATTCACACAAAACACTTTTTGTCAAACTTGAATAAAACACTATTAACATATGAATTTTAAAAAAATGAAAGTAATATATAATAACAAGTAAATCCTTATTTTAAAAGATTGAAGAATTCCCAAAATACCTTTTTACATTTTTAAAATTTCTAGAAATAACGCTATCATTTCATAGAAATACCACTTCTATAATTTAATTATGTAAACAATTTTCTTATATTCAGAATGAAGTGATCCAAAATATTTCATTTCGAGTTTATGTTCCAATTGTACACAAAAAAAATTAATACAAGTTTTTAATATGCTTAAGCAAAACTGATTTAAATGAAGAAAAATTATTAGAATTTCCTGCAACACACACAAGGTTAATAGATTCTTTACAATTATAAAATGTGACCCTTTTGATACACAAATAAAATTCAGATTCCTATGAAATTTCAATTTTAAATAAAACAGTCGCACACATTTACATATAGATGCTATTTGTCATTATAAAAATTTATATATTTAACTAAAAATAACATAAAAATTTACTTTAACGTTACATTTTATGTGACTCATTATTTTTAAGAAAAATATTTTTTTTTACTCTCTTTCATCGTAATACATTTTATAGAAATAATTTTATTGTGTAGATAAACCTTTAATAGAGTTTCAGTTCATTCTAATTTTTCATAACAATCTAGCTAAGTTCATTAAGCTGAAAAAATTATAAAACTAACTTGATATCAAATGCAAATACAATTCTGACAAAGTATAAGAAATGGAGTGGCATTTGTTTAATGAATGAATGTAATTCAATCACTAAAACAGAATAGACATTTGTGTACACAATCACTAATAAATAGCCTACTATTTTAAATTGAATACAAAGAAGTTCCGGTGTGTAAAGAAATCATTTACGGCTATCTAATTCTGTTGTTATCTATAACTGCGTCAAATGGAAATTCAAAAGAACTAATGGTATAAAATCAATACTTATTTCTCTGAGGAAAAAATCTGAAATTTATTTACATTAAATGCACAAAATATATATGTTCTAAAAATTGTTATAAAAATATCGTGAAATTTTCTGATTCTGAGCAAAACACTTGTCACATTATTTATTCTTAACATGTGCCAACTAACACACGTGATAAGCATAAAAATAACAATATAGGCACCTTACCGGCACCACCATAAGCGTTTCACTTAACTCATCATGTTTAAGTCCTACCCTCAACAAGTGGTCCTCGTATTGATATGCAAATCACAAAAATATGCTTGCTCATCCAAAAAACGTCAACACGGCCAGAACGTGGAATATCTCTAAAACTACGACTAGGCCTAACTTCCGACAGATTTTCATTTCAAAACAACAATATCAGTGACATTTAGAAAAAAATAATGAACCCGCATGATAATGACATACTCACCAACACTGTTCTTTGCGATCACATATCGGTTCATCCATCCGGATAGGATAATGATGCACAGCAGCAAGCTGTACGATGTTACACTTCGCTCACCCATGTGGAGCTCTTGAACAAGAAATTATCTAAAAAGACATGCTATTTCAGAGAGATCTCCTTCAAAGGGTGATATCTGGTGGTGTGAAAGTGTGGGAGGCCGACCCCTAATCGTGAGACGGCGTGCACACTGCGTATTATGGGCTTCACTGCCAGTGGCGAGCAGGTGGGCTTTTTATTCGATCCGTAACTGAGTGCAGAACGAACGAACTGCCATGGCGGTCTTTTGACAGCTGAAGAGGATCCCGGATGGTGACGTAGGCATTACGTCACGGAAATACAAAAGGGATTGTTCGGAAATTGCGTGAAAATCGCTTTGTGTAGGCGCCGGAAGGGGGTTTGGATAACGATGCGACGGTGAGAGGAAAGAGAAACAATTTCATTTGATTTGGTTTTTAAATTTTAATGTGATACCTTTTTCCATACATTTTATTGTGGCGTAATTTTTGCTTTTTCCCTTTTTTATACTAAGAAGAAAAAAAAATTTTCATAAAGAAAAATTATAATTTATTGATTTGCCTTTAAAAAGCACATTTGAAAAATATATCGTTTCAAATTCTGATTTGAGAGAATAAATGTAATTTGATACTTATTGATAAGAAGAAAAGTGTCAGTAAATAAGAAAAGTAAGGCTTCGCTTTCTTTGAAATGGTTCTAAGGAAATTTGTTTTAAAATGATTATTTTATAAAATCTATTTTCTCGGTATTTCTTTCCTTTAACACATCAGATGTCACAAGATTATTATTTGGAAAAAATATGTTTAGGTTATATAATTTGCCTGCATATTTCTTTTAAAAAATTTGTTTAATTCATATAATAAAGGAAAATTCAGGTTTACTAAAAAAACATAAAATATTAAGGCATGAAAATAAACTTTACACATTCCAACTTATTCAACTTTGATATATGTTCTTAAGAAATTTAAAAAATTAACAATAGCCTTTATATATCTCGTTAACACATTTTTGTGGTTTTGTTAATGTAATTCTATTTGAATTTTTTTTTTCTAGATTTTAGGAAAAATAGCATTATGCTATTAAATCTCTTACACAATTTTACCAATTAATTTTCCATCTTTAATTTTTAAAGATTTCTCTCTCTCTCTCTTCTACCTTTTTTCCCCCATTCTAAGATCTTTTGTAATAATGTTCATTTTAAATCATAAGAATTTGTGGTATATTTGGAAGCTCCATGCCCTTTATGTTTTCATTATGAATAGACAATCATTGTGTTTCCTTCATTGTAATAACATGACATTAATAAATATAAATTTTTCATTTATATGAGATAATACTAATATAGTGTAGTTCCGCATTAATTCAGAAACTTGCTGTAGAATATGACTACTATGATCTACTACTGTATCTTCTATGATCACCAATTAAAATAATAGCAAACACCGCATTAAAATAAAAACAAATTAATTTATAATTATTTATATAAGTACGATATATTTCATTTAATTCGCTTATAAAATTATTAATAATACCAAAATCAAATGTTTTTTTAATTGATAGTAGAGATTTTGTGATGTGTTTAAGGGCATGAATGAGATGTAAAATATAAAATAGCCTTCCAAACATTCAAAATTAAGTGCATTTGTATAGAATTCAAATATAGCTACATGCAAATATGAATAACCTGTTCAATTCTATGAATAGATATTTAGTATCTACTTAAGCCAACCTTTTAAATGCTTGATATTTAAAACATATAGT